ATCCTGACAGCTTCATTGTTTTAGACAAAACTGAACTGATCACAGACCTTGGTTACTGTGTTTGAGAGATAATGCAATTGGGCCATCGTGGTCAGAAAGGGTTCCTTTCTTTTGCTTCCAGGTGCCATTTCAGATCTCCCAAGGGCCTTTAGGGTAAACGATATTGCACTTGTCATCTGCTTCCAGTTTAAATTTGGTCCTCTTCTATCAGTTCATTTGGGCTGTAAATTAATTTTTAGATATTTCCAAGAAAGAAGCACTACTGTATGAGAAACCATGGAACTGATGAGAGCTTGCAATAAATATTTGCCTCCTTAAAATTTGTATTTTGGATAGAGAAACATATGCATAGAACACTATAGGTATAGAAATATTATTTATTGGCCAAGTTTGATTGGACATTTGTCTCTTTGGGATATTGTCTGTCTACTGTATCCCATTTATTTTTGCTTAGCAAAACTCAAAGAAATGAAGAATGTTTTTCCCATCTGTCATCTTATTTTGTCAGTTCTTGGTAGCTCTTTTCACACAGAGAGAACCATACGATATATAATTATTTCCAACATAGCAGTACGTGAATAATGTATGTAAGGATTGATGATGTGATTTTTTTTAAACACAGAGCTCTATTGGGAGCTCTATTCAAGTCAATTACCATAGAAAACATAGCCATAGTGTCTTCTGCTTCAGCAGGGAGTTGGATTAGCTGACCTCCAAGGTCCCTTCCAGCTCTATTCTGATTGAGTTAAGATTACAGGTAGTCCTTGAGTTATGACAGGTCACTTAGCAATGGTTCAACCCAGTCCTGAAGTTACATATGTTGCAGCACCCCTGTAGTCATTCGGCTTTATGACTGACCAGAGAAATGCTGCAATATGTCCGCACCATCTATTTCCCCACCATCCTCCTGAAATGCATACAGCATTTGCTGGGAGAAAGAGACAATGTGTAGGAAGGAAAGAGTTTTGCTGGCTGCATGCATTCACTGGGAGAAGGAGATGAGCCCCTAGGAAGGGTAGAGTTTAGTCTCTGCCTGTATGCCTTCCATCCTCCCACCATTAGCCAGGGACTGAAAGCAAAAAGCAAGGAACGGAAGGAAGATTTCTCTGCTTCACCATTTGCCTTTGCTGGTGGAGTGAAGGTTAACATCTAGAAGGAGAGCGGAGCTGACGTTGCGGCAATACGACCGAATCCCTAGGGGCTCCTAGGGAGTACATCAAAATCCTGACAGCCGGTGGTCTATTGGCTCTAAATTGCCCGGAGGGATGACGATCGAGTAGAGGACACTCTGCTGATCTCAGGGACACCACAATATTCCTGGTAGATCCAGAGATAGCCTCTCTAGCTGACTTGAAAGGAAAGCAGTCATCGTGAACTGCTACAAGGCTGGGGCAGTCTCTGATGGAAAGAAAAGAGAAAGTGTGGCCAATCTAGGTGAGAATTTAAAACTTTTTAAATATCAAAGAAAAGAGGCCCCTGGGAAGAACAGGAAAAAGAGAAAGCCAGAATTAAAGGGTGGTGGGTTGATATCCCCCCCCCCCCGCCGCCGCCCCCTGGAAGAAAGTGGTGAGGAAAGCCGTTTTTGGTGCAAATAGAAAGAGGACGCCATTAATTATGGAGTAAAGAACAGAAAATATTTTAAATTCTTTTAAAAACTGGACTGGACTGTTTGAACTTACAGAATTAAGCTAAGAAGACTAAGAAAAGAACATTGGATTTACTTTTGTTCTTGAATTACTTTTTTTCCTGACTTTTTATATAAGTATAATTTTTAAAGTTAAAAGGGAAAGCAGTGCAACAGTGCCACCTACAGGGGAGAAGAATTAAAAAACAGAGAGAGAAGGAGATATGATTATTGGACTATTAGGCTGACCTTGACAGCTGTAAAAAGTGAAGATAAAGATATAATTGTTTACAGAGACAGAGGGTTACACTGAGAATGTATATTGAAAACAGTGTAACTCTTGGACACTAAAAGAAACAAAGAAGATACGAAGAAACAGAAACCAGAACTCCTTCTGAACTGTTTGGATTAATTTTTTGTGTGAGTTGCTTTGATTAATGTGACAAAATTGCACTGTGGAATTTAGCAAAGAGAAGCAATTGAAGGCTGGATGCTGAGACTTGGTGATATAAGGTGAATTGCAACTGGATAATTAAATCATATCCTTCCTAGTAGATATTAACATACAAATCTTATATTTTTTATTTTTTTCTTTCCTTTTTGAATATCTTTTTACTATTTTTTTCTTTTCTTCCTTTCTTTTTCTGTACTTTTCCCCTTTTTTAAAAAAACAACCTAATTTTTGTATTTTCCTTTTTTATTATATACCATTTTACAAGGAGATGGATATTTCTTCTTTTCTCTCTCCTTGCTTTCATTCTTTTTGTTAGCCATTTTCATTATCATTTTTTTTTCACTCTCTTTCAGCTAGTTATGAAGGGGGGAAACTATATTTATTTTTACTTTTTATTTATAATTGAGATTATTTTTTTTACTTTGGATACTACTTTTACCTTCTCTTTGGATTGTACAACATTATTTATATGGAATACATTGGATTAGGGTGTAGTTCCCAAAGTGGGTGGTACCACCCCCTGGGGGGGTAGGATGCCTTAGGGGGGTGCTAAGAGGCAAGGGGGGCGGCTGGGGGTGCTAAGAGGTGGCAGGGGGGGCATTCGAGGTGCCGGCCCTGCAGGTTCACCCATTGACTAGCACCACTCCGGAGCTGGCACCTCCAATGCAGAAGCGGTGGCACATTATGTGCCACCGCGGCCGCGTTTAACACGCCACCCCCTGCCACCTCTTAGCGCCCCTCTGCCGACCCCCTTGGGGATGCTAAGAGGTGGCAGGGGGGCATTCAAGGTGCCGGCTGGCCGTGCAGGTGCACCCATTGACTAGCACTGCTCTGGAGCCGGCGCCTCCAATGCGAAAGCGGTGGCATGTTATGTGCCGCTGTGGCCATGTTTGACATGCCACCCCCTGCCGCCTCTTAGCACCCCTCTGCTGGCCCCCTTGGGGATGCTAAGAGGTGGCAGGGGGGCATTCGAGGTGCTGGCCCTGCAGGTTCACCCATTGACTGTAGTAATGCTCAGAGCCGGCACCTCCATTGCAGAACTGGTGGCATGTTATGTGCCACCGTGGACGTGTTCGATGTGCCTCCCCCCTGCCACCTCTTAGCATCCCCAAGGGGGCCAGCAGATGGACACTAAGAGGCAACAGGGGGGCGTTCGAGGTGCCAGCCCTGCAGGCTCATCCCATTGACTGTTGTACTGCACTGGAACCGGCGCCTCAAATGCGGCAGCGCATTGGGAAAAGCCGCCACTACCACTTTCCCAAAGTGCCACCGCTGTTGCATTCTGTCTGTCTGTCCGTCCGTCCATCTGTCCATCCCTCCATCCCTCCAAAAGGTCTGTCTGTTTGCCTGCCTGCCTTCCTGACTACCTACCTATCTGTCTGTCTTTCTGTCTACCTACCTACCTACCCATACATCCATCCAAAAGATCTCTCTGTCTTCCTGCCTGCCTACCTACCTACCTACCTATCTACCAATATAGATCTATCTATCTATCTATCTATCTATCTATCTATCTATCTATCTATC